TGTTATTTGGCAAAAAATAAATAAATAATTGATGGATATGTCTACATGTTACATCTCAAGCGATCAGCGAGAAGTGATTTTATGAGAATGACAAGTTCAAAGAAAAGAATGTTTGAATGTGGGGATGGAACTGAGATCCTCTGTCTGTGAGGCAGAGTTAGCAGAGATAGTGAGCTTGGCCAAGAATCTTTTTTTCATTGACATCCAAGTTGTGAGAAAATTTTGAATCACTGGTAGAGCTACAGTATCGCATAACTTCATGGAAGAATGAATTTCAGAAATTAGGGGAGAGGTTCATTTTGATGCTGTCATGGGAAGTTTAAAAATCATTATTAATATGCTTCAAATGGCTTAAACATCTTCCAGAAGATTCTGTATACCCCTGCTGTATAGAAGATGGCATTTTCAGAACTGTTGCTTGTTTTAATCTTGTTTGATAAGCTGAACAAAGCTGGTTTCCAGATAATTGCAACAAGGTTAAAGAGAAGCAGAAATCCACATGTTCAGCTCACCTGAAAATACTTATTCTCTTTTTCGTTCAGTTGTATTCATTCTTTCAGGAGCAAGACTTCCTAGGCATCTCCTATAATGCCTAGAACACTGATGTATTGAAGACAGCACAGATACTGTCAGCCTTGTGAGGTAGTCCAGCCAAGAAGCACACCCAGGAGCACTAGCTCTATCTTTATTGCAAGGTTACATTCAGAAACTTTCAAATCTGAAAGTACTGTTCCTATCCCTCACATTTACTCTCCCCAAAACTAGGGACGGTCCCTTCTGAGATATTTTCACCACCCCTCCTCCTTCGGACTCAAATTTTATCAGTCTGTTGTCTAGGCTGCGGCTCTTCCTCCTGTTTCCCAAGGTCATTCCCACATACCATTTCAGATACATGGAACCAAGTATCATTTGAGGCCAGGCTAATTGGGCGTATATCACATCAGTCATAAAAGTAAAGGATAAATCTCTGAAATTCCATGATTATTGACATTATTGTGCAGCGTACAATACACATGCTCACAAATGCATTAAAAAATAAGTCTGAATGCCTTCCAATATAGTAACACTTGCTGCCTGGATTTTGGGCATCAAAGGCTAAATACATGGGACAGTTTTAATCTGTTACAATTCAAAGCTTCATTGACATGTTATTTATGGCAGGGTTCCTCAACCTGGGCAACTTTAAGATGGGTGGACTTCAACTCTCAGAAGGCTGGCTGGGGAATTCTGGGAATTGAAGTCCACCCATCTTAAAGTTGCCTAGATTGAGGAACCCTAATTTATGGTATTCTTTTAAAAGTTCTTATCCACCTTGAAGCATTAGGGATGAGGAGAGATAAAAATAAATGTGACCCATGGGACAGCATTGCCTTCTCAAGCTATAACGCCACCATCATGATCACTATCACTCTTTCTCAGTCTCTCCTTTGTCTCACAGGCACACACACAATTCCAAAGTCTGTCACCATCGATCTCTTTGCCAGTTGTACAGTCATTAACTAGACATTGAAGGAATGCTGCGCCCTCAGCCAAAGTAGCACTTGCGGTAGGACAGAGACACAAAGCAATGCAAGTGAGCATCAGGATAAACTAGGATGCAGGAGTCTCTAACTGCATACCCAGATAAAGGCCACCAGTGCCCACTGCAGTTTCTACATCATCTCAGAAGCATAAATGGAGGGGGGAAAAAAACTGGGATGGAATTATATATCTCTGTGATGGGTGAATTTTAATATGGTGGATAAATCTTTCAAAATCCAATAAAGTTATCTTGCTTTTGTTAACGTTTTATTCATAAAGGACCCTGGATTTCATTTCGAACAATACTTATCATCTGCTGACCACCAGTGTTAATTCTATAAAGACTGCAAAGCACAATAACAGTTACTTTATAGGTCACTCCACAGTCCCCTTGCCTATAGGAAAATATGGGGCATTTTCTTTTACATGAATGAGCCAATACTCAATGTATCTATTGCTCATACTTCATAGTCATGGTAAAAAGGTAAACACCTATTACATACACTTGCCTACACATTTCTAACCTTGTGATTTCCAGATGTGGAAGACTACAACTTCCATAATCCCTTAGTTTATATCCAGAGAACAATAATCTGTAGAAAGATAAACCTCATACACTTGCTTCTTTATCTAATATGGGCTTTTTCATTACCTGTGACAGCTTTTGAAATTAGCTGAATCTTCCCCCAAATTGCTAATTAATTCTCCTGATCACCCCCATCTCTCCTATAAAACTTGATTTCCTCTAATCAAGTCTGGTATTAGATGGCTTGGGAAAGGGGAACAGGATGAAAGTCTAAGGAGAGAAAAATGGTCTCCAGGAGCAGAGTTGGTCCCCTCCCTTTTTTTTTTTTTCAAAAATCGTAACTCTCCTCCATTGTATTCATAATTAGGAACTCTTCCATATTTCAAAACATGTAACTGTTGCTATCCATGGCAAATAGATGCCTACAAAAACAAACTTTAAGTACAGGCAGGTCAGGAGATTAGTTTTTTAATAGGAATGTCTTAGAAAATATATTCAAATGCCATAATGTATCTATGCCTACATCTACCTACATTAAAACTACAACGCAATGATATTCCATGTGACACTCCATGAAAGCAAAAGTTGGTCTTTAAGAAGCAGGATAGGAAGAGTATTGACACTTTTGAATTTTGGTGTTGGAGAAGACTCCTGAGAATATTGTGGACAGCAGAAGAAAACAAACAAATAGGTCACTGTACAAATCAAATCAGAGTTCTCACTCAAAGCACAAATGACTAGGCTCAAGTTATCCTACTTTGGACACATTATGCAAAGGCCTAGCTCTCTGGAGAAGGCTCTAATGCTGGGAAAGATGGAAGGAAAGAGAAGAGGTCAACCAGCAGCAAGGTGGATAGACTGAGTTACAATGGTGATGAGTGCACTGTTGGAAGACCTGAAAGACCAGGTTAGGGACAGAACATCATGGAGAAAATCTATCTACGTGGTTGCTAAAAGTGAACAACAACTTGCTGGCACATAATCAACCAATGATCTTATTATCCTTGGATTATGGTTTATGGTGTAACCTAGCTTGAAAATGAATCTCTGTTTAAAAGTATAGAATATCATAGATTTCCAACTATAACAGACAAGCTACTCAATTATCAACTGCTAGCCAGGTTCTTCTGTTTATTTCCAAATCAGTCAATGTTCCTTAAAGTATATATGCCAAGGCTGATTGAAACAGCAGACTAGTTAAAATTATAGTTTCCCACTCACTCATCAAGAGCCAAACTGAAATAGTGGGAATAGATTGAATGTATTAATTCATTACTTACTGAGGTATGTTTCAAAAATAATTAACAGAGTAGCATATAGCTACTTCCTGCATTAATCAGCATGAATCATTATAGAAGTTGTGCTGTATTTGGTAAACAGTTAGGGCTACTATTACATTGTGTTGCTTGGGGCAGATTAACCTTGA